TTAATAGTAAATAAAAATAAGGGAAATGAAGAAATGTTTCTGGCTGAAATTCTAAGTTGACTGCCCACATAGCCTACCTTAAAACCTGAATGTATGGCGCTCTGCAGCCATGAACACTAAAAAAGCACCACTTTAGAAAGGCTGTGACATATTCTGAAACTAGCACAACATTTCAAAAGGTGTGAATTGTTTTAAAAGTATATTAGAACTGAGAACCTGGCAACTGCAGACTTCTCCTGTGCTTTCTTCTCAGATGCCAGTTTTTCAAGATCTTTTTGCCTGCTTTAAAGCCTTTGAATAACTTATCTGAAAAAACGGAAATGATTTGCAGAAAGCTCTTTCAAGAGCTAAACAACTTTGTGTTGTGCAATGCATCAGAGGCTACTCTATGAGTGTATGTTGATACTTGTGCTGACCTCTTGATTAGATCAGATCTAATCAAAGCTGTTAAGATCTATGACACACCCCTATCTTTTTGATGCAGATCAGCAACATTGCTTTCCACTGATTCCTTCTTATAGGAATGCAAAAAGAACAAAGACTTGTGTTATTCTACAGCTTTCATACATTGCCACCTAAAAGCTGGAGATACCCAGGAAATTCATCAAAATAGTTCTGGTTCAATAGACTTCAAAGAAAAATCTAAATCATTTTCACAAGAAAATCCATGTTCAAAATACACACTACTGTATTCTGCTCTGTAATTTGGATCCAGAATGAAGCTAGATTAAAGATTGTCATTCAATCCCTGCTGACCCAAATGGTGAGTCTCATCATCTGAACCCCACCCACCAGTTTGTTGTTGTTGTTTAGTCGTTAAGTCGTGTCCGACTCTTCGTGACCCCATGAGCCATATTGCACCAGGCCTTCCTGTCCTTCACTGCCTCCCTGAGTTTGCTCAGTTTCATGCTCAACCCACCAGTTAGCTTATTCTTAAGATCTCCTGCCATCCAAAAACAGGCAAGAATCCCATGGGCTTTAAATATGTTGTTGTTTATTGAAATGACTACATGCAAGCAGCTTGATAATAACCATACTTTTTTTTTTTTCCTTTTGTCCCAGCCATGCAGTTTGCACTCCCCAAGTTAGGGAGAGACTGTCATGGAGAAAATCTATCTATGTAGTTGCTAAGAGTCAATAACAACTTGATGGCACATAATCAATCAATCAGGTCAGATTAGCCAGTCAAATGTAGCTCACTTAAAGGTACTGTAGCTTCTTCTCCCATAGCTTGAAGAAGTTGTACCTTTGGAAACACTGTTTTACTCTGTCCAGTGTGTCTTTTGTAAACTTCTATTTTATCTTCCATTATTTTTCTCTATGGCTCTTTTGACTTATCTCTGCTAAGAAGTTGGTTTTACTAATCTTGACCTATACATATTTAACTTTGCTCTCAACCTGAGGCTTCTTAACATCTAATCAAAAAGCTATGATCACTCCTTCCATCTTTATAAAGTTTGTATATACTCTGAAACAGAGGCGTCTACTCAAGCAGATAATTTGCATATTATTTATTTCATTTGTAACTGTGCGTGTATGAAAGATGTTTAATTTCCATTGTTTTCCTATTTTTCCTCCCCTTTTATATCTGAACGGCTGCCTTTTTAACCATACAATCCTATATATGTCTTCTGAGAAATATATGTTATTGTGTAAATGTCTTAGCTTCTTCTGTGTAAGGTTTTGTTTTGAAGGATCTTTAAGATAGCATTTTTTTCTTGTATCTCCAATTCAACTTATATACTCTCTAAGCACTTCCTGCTGGGTAAATTTATTATAGAAATGTAGCATACATGAGGGGATCTTCTCGCTAGTTATGTATAAAATGAATATAAATAGCATTCTACCTTGTAAAAGAGAATGGCTTCAATAGTGCATAACTTGGCCAAATCATAATATATTAGAGAGGTTTTGAACAAAGTTATGTGGAATGTCTGATTCTGAGAAGTTAAGAGTATTTCTAGCACTCTCTCTCCCATTCTGTTAACTTAACACTTGGATTTTTAATAGTAAAGCAAGATTTTCTATCTGGTTTGCCAAGATGAGCTCATGCTTGGAAATCTCTTTCATACCACCAATTCCTGCTGAAGGATCTGACTCCAGTCAGCAGGAACCTTGTGTTCCCTATGGGGCCTCCTTTTTTATGTTTTTATTACAGCAGCTCCTCCCATGACATCTCCTCTGTGATTTCTTTGTCCTTTGCTAAAACTGCTGGAAAATTCCCAACTGGTTTCTTCACCAGACATAGGCACTATGAGACCTTAGCTAATGACATCATCTTTGCCTCTGTTATTTTCTATAGGTGAGCCATTCAGAACTGTGTCAGGTAGAATGGTTTTTCTACTGAGATGCAGAAGACAGTTTCCTGGGTGTCAGGATAAGCTGTAAGCTTATGAAAACATTTCCAGGTTATCTTAAGTATGCTCTGATTGTTTTTAGCCATTACTCCCACAAGTTCCTTTTCAATATGGACAATATACTAGCCTGTTGTGTCATCTATTTTAAAGGGAATGGATGGGGTCATTTGGTCCAGCTCTGAAATTACTATATCTATGTAAGAATCTGCTCTGGTCAGCCATTTAAAAATATATTGATAACCAATAGTGTATCCAAGGCAAAGGGGGTATGCAGCTGACTAAATACTCTAAAAGAAAGAAAAAATAAAAAGATCCTATGCTGCAGCCTAGTTTTTAAAAGAACTGTATACATCTAACCTTAACTCTAGTTTATCAAGTCTCAGGATTAGTCTGAGGTAATGGTAAAAGATTGGTCAAATAGGCATATTATATCAAAGCACTTTTTTTCCTCTATACAGAAGCCTAAAGAGTTGGATATATTTTTTCATAACTATTGTGAGATTTTTATATTGAGCAATCTACTTCTCAAAATATGATACATACTGTATTCCTTCTCATGATTTCCATAATCTAGGGAGTTAATAACTGAAAACAGGGGGATTGGCAAAATTGTGGTGAATAACAGAAAACGTTACTCCACTCTTTAATAACAATGTAAAATGTATGTCTCTCCTTTATTATCTATTTCAGGAAACATGAATGAAATTCATTAATATGTAATGCCTTTGATTCAACAACTTTTACATTGGCTGCTGGACATGCTGCTAAGTAAGAAATGTGCCCTGAAGGAATCCACCATCACACAGAGGTTTACCCTCAGTTGGACTAAATAATTAATCAAAGCATATCTATTCATTTTTTATGTAAACTTGAAAATATGAACCAGAACAACTATAAAAAGACTTTGTACAAGGCCTCTACTGATATTATGAATACATTAAAAAAACCTTAGCTATACAATTAGTCATTAGATAAATAGAAGAAAACTAACAAATAGCTGATAATATTCATAATCCATTTAGGAAAAATATTTAAAAGAGTTAAACTCTGATTTGGAAAAGACAAAATGAAATATAATAAAATGATTAAAAAGAAACTTAATATGCTAGAATTAGAAGTGGCAAAATTAAATGAACATGTGTTATTTATCATATATATACACATACATACTGTACACACAAGAGAAACTTTTCCCTGTGCTCACAATAAATCATAAACCACATGATAGGAATCACTATTTTGATAGTCATAAAAAATGAAAAATGATCTATACTTCCTTAACAGAATAGTAATAGCCAAATATTCTTCTCTTACTCTTAGGAAAGACTGGATCTCAGCAGAGGGAAATATGGAAAATGTGTTACATTTTGAATGCAAAGAAAATTCAGAACAGATAAGAAATGTGATTCAGGATCTACAAAGTAAGATAGAAAATGTGAAGGAATGGCATACAATGATCCTATAGAGCAGAGACATAAGAACTGTGGCTTACAACACCCATCAGTCACAACCAGTGTGATCAGTGATGAATGTTGTTGGGAACTATAGTTATTCCAATATAGAGAAAAAAATTGAGGATACCAACCCTTCTACTAAGTAGGAATACAGTATGTGGCTTTTAAAGACAAGATCCCATACTTAAAAGTTGATGGAAGAGCTATTTAGGTTGAATATTAAACTGGCGGAACAATTACTTTGAAATATATGTATTTAGATTTTTTTTCATTTGTTGCAAATCATTCAACCTGAATCTGAGATCTACTTACAGTAATCTGAATTGAGTAGTAGAAAATACAAGGATACAGCCTTTCCCTGCAAAGTTTTACCTTACTTGTAGATTAAATCAGAGATAAATTAAAGGTACATTTGGATCTCAGAATGATTTACAAAAGATTGGAGAATTCTTAATCACTGAAAATGTCTTAACTGCAGATCGGTAATCCTCCCCCACCATCCCCCAAAATGTACTGTTGGCCAGGAATCAGATTTTTTGTGCAGCAGCACTGTGAGCCTTAATCAGTTCTGAAGTGCCTGTTTGTGTATGGCCCGTCTTTTTGCACCTGGCTTCACTTAGTAGATCTCAGGGTTCTAGTTCGTCACAAAGCAGATTCCGTTAACCTAAAGTCTGCTCATCCCTGCAAATAAGGGTTTATAGGCAATCTGGAAGAAACTTCACTTCGTCGTTTCCAGCAGTGAAATACTCAGGATAAAGCCCACGAAGACAAATGGGTTGGGAAAGCGTGAACTCGACGGAAAAGGGGACAGGCTGATCTAGTTAAAGCGGCGATTTGGGTGTTAAAAAAGTACTACCTCGGTGACAAAGAAGTGACAAGATTTTTTTGGCTCTCTTTTTACTTACGCGGCTTATTCCAAATCACAATTCGCGCCTAAAAAAAACCTGCGCACATGTGAAGCGTATATTGCGCCTCTGCATGCAAACATGCCTGCACGCCTGCAAACGTGTCAGCACATATCTTTTTCTAAGCACACACACATATGCAAGCGCGCGCCTTACCTCCCCTCCCCTCCCTTCCCTTCCGTTCCCTCCCCTTTCCTTTCCTCTCCTCTCCTCGCGCGAGCCCGCCTAGGGTGGCTACTGTGGCAGAGATTGGTGTGTTTTTCTCCATCTGCGTCACATGGCCGCCCCTCCCCCCTCTCTCCTCGCCCTTCCCTTCCCTATCGCGGCTCGCCACTCAGCTCAGGTCACTTTGACAAGCTCACGCTCTCTCTCCTCTTCCTCCTCCTTTACCGTGCAATTAGCATATTAATCAGCCCAGGGATCGGAGTCGGAGTCGGTCGGGGCGCAGCGTCGTCTCGCGCGCAGCCAGGCCAACGCAGCCCAGCCCAGCCCAGCCCTGGACTCGCCGACGAGCACAGGGAGAGAGGGATCGGGCTGCCCCACTTGCTGTGGCTGCTGTGCTTCCCGGCGGGGAGGCCCCGGAATCGGGGGCGGCCTTGCCCAGCGACTGGGGTCTCTGTCAGGGCGGCGGATGCCAGGACCCCGCCGAGCGGGCACGTCGCACCTTTGCTGCGCCAGGCCGGGCATGTGAAGATGTCAGTAGGCTGTGCATGCCCAGGTGAGTCTAGGCGCGCGGGGAAAGAGAAGGGCTGGGGCGTACATCCTTCTTGGAGTCCAGGGACGCTCCTTCTGCCCCCACCCGGGCCCCTCTGCAGTTGGGAACATTCAATCTGAAAATAACCTTGTAGCAATCTTCCTTCTTCCCGGAAAAGACAAGGAGAAAGAAAATGGCATTTGGGAATTTAGGTTTCCCGAACAAGCACGGGGCGCGGGAATTCGGTTTTCTGGCAGCGGGGGGCAACCTGGTATCGGTTTGGGGCTAGGGTTTGTTGTTGATCATTTTGCTTGCCGTTAACTGTTGGTATCAGTTGGGAAAGAAGTCTGGGGTTCTTGAGGGGTTCCCAGTGGGGCGGGGAATGTCCGTTGAAGTTAGTCTTTTGATGGGGAAGAATCTCCGGGAAAAGGAAATGGGAACTGGGCTGTTAGAAGTATGCTGTTGGGAATCGGGAGAGGGGCTGGGCTAGGGTAGCTCTACCGATATTACAAAAATAGTTAAGGGAGGGAACTGTCCTCAGTGGGTCCTGTTCTCTAGGGCTGCCCCACTTGGGCAGAGGGCTGCCCAGAAGTGTTTGTGTTCACATCCGAAGGATGCAGCTGTGCTGAGATGGGTTTTCTATGTGATCTGGCCTCTCCTTCTAGGTGGAGTTTGAAACCTGAAACATCTCTTCAGTTTAGGATCATTGAATGCCCGTTATTGAAGGCATGCCAGTTCTCAAGGATGTGGTTATTGGGTTTGCTCTGCTTGTGTCAGGGCAAACTTGGCTCCCTGATGGAGGATGAGCTATGGGAACAGACAGCTTTTTGCACTGTTGGTTTGGCCTTTGTGGCCTGGGAAAAAGATGATGATAAAGTCTTTTATGTGGAGGATGTACAGGCATCCTCTGCTCTTCTCTAAGAAACTATGGAACCTGCACAGCTTTTAAACAGGAGTGGTTGACATAGATACGGACTCATCACTGCTGAAATAGGTTATACAGTACTCACCTCTTTCACATGAAACTTACAGATAACAGAAGGAAATGCTACACTACTAGGTTAAAAAAAAAGTCAGCATTTCTGTTGAGTCAAGCTTGACTCCTGGTGACTTCAAGGCTATGTCTTGGTTGTTTGCTTGGCAACAGTGTGAAAGTGTTCTGTTGTTGCCTTCTTCTCAGTGGAGCCTACAGCCCTGCTATTTCCTGGTAATTTCCCATCCAAGTATCATCTAGGGCTAACATTGTTTAGCTTTTTGAGATCATCCAAGGCAGTTAGATACCAACATTATGTGTTTCTTCCACTGTCCTACAACTTTGCTCCTGAGCTTTTGGAATACTAGTCTTTGAATGACCTTAGCTGTAAAATGTAAAACCAAGAATGAACTATCCCACCTGTGTTTCCTAGAAGGCATATAAATGTAGAGAAGGCTGAATTTAGAATGAGATATGTTCCAAAATTGGGAAAACACTGAGAAATGCAAGTCAGAAATTAGCTGTCTTTCTTAGAAACAGCTTCACTGCTTGAAATAAATGAACCGTGCCAAGTACAGGGATAGGTTAGGCTCTTTTCAACAGGCAAATCTGATATATTTGGGTGCCCTTTCACTGCAGGCAGGAGTGTTGGTCTCCTCTAGTTTGACAGAGGTGTGGTTTCTCTCTGTGAGAGTTCATGCAGTTCTTGCAAAGCATTCAATTCCATGCTGAGATTCTGCATGCTATGGAACAACCAGGTAATCCCCAAGTTCTCTCTCTCAGTTCATCATGTTCTTTGGTCCAGATATAGGTAAATTCCTTCAATAGGCATAGGGCAGCACCACCATTCCTCCCTCCCAGAGTCCAAGAACTGCCTGCCTGCTCTGACACTGGATATTTGAGTGGCTAACCTCTCTGGTTCCGCCATTGCCCCCTACCTGTTGTCTGGCTGAATCTATTTCCCTAGCTTGCAGCAATCCCTTCTTCTAAACAAGCCCTTTCCTTTCCTGTTTCCCTTCCCCCACCACCACCACCACCACCACCACTACTACCTCCTTCTCCTCCTCCTCCATCTCCCGCTGGAAGCTGCCAGAGCGGCTGCTGCTTCCTCAAGCAGAAAGTCACGTGCTCTCCCTCCAAAGCCAGGCCAAACATTTAAAGCACCAGGCACAGCATGGGTTTCTCCCCCCCCTTCCTTTCACACTTTTATAGGATTTTACCTCTCTCTCTCTCTGTGCCTACCTTGCCCCATTGACTGAAGTGGGGGCTGGCAGGATAGCTCATGTTCATGGTACCTGGATCTGGCTTCAAGTCTGCAGCTTGGACATACCTGATTTCTCTGAGGGCCTTTCACATACAGACTTGCTCAGTGAGCTTGAGGTTAATTCTTGCTACATCTGTGGCTAAATGCTCACAAATGCATGTGCAGGATAATGCCATTCTTGCTGTTTTGCTTTTCAGGCTGAGCCTTGTGGTATGTGTGTGCGTGTGATGCAGCAAGGATTTTATTAAATCTCACCTTCCTACAACATTGCATTTGAAACAAATGCTGTGTTGTTACCATGTCATGTCCCAAGTTATGATATAATCATGTTTATAGATAAGGTATTATAATTGTTCTGGGATTCAGAGGGTCTCCCAGGAGAATCAAATCAGCCTGCCAAATGAATGTGGCCTTTTTCAAAAATTATGAATGAGGAGTAAACTGCTAGGTTTATATATCTGTGTATGCATTTTTTTTTCTTGTTGAAATTGAAGATTTCCCCATGATTTTGCTCCTGGAGTTCATGACAGACTGTTTATTGGAATGAAGAACAAACAAGCTCCAGTTCTGGCTTTCTGCCAGCTAGAAACATTTAATGAACCTCTCATGTGGCTGCTCTTCTGGGGAGGGGGGTGCATTAACTTGGAGGAGTTTCCAGCTGTGGGTGTCTGCCTTTAAAGAGGAAGCAGTGGCATTTGTAAGTTATAACAAAAGAGCTGCCTCCATTGGCCATTTCTACATATGGTGTAGCTCTGTATTTCTTCCATTCTCCAAAGGATAACACAAGGCTAGTTCTTCACCATCATTCTTTAGAGTGAAGGAAAATGTCTGATCCCAGTGTTTGCTCTGTACAAAACCTTTCACTTGTCTTTTGCTTTATAGTTCTCCAGTTTCCCAAATTCAGATTTTTTAAAAAGTTTTTTTTTAATTTTGAAAAGGACAAAAATGGCAAAGTACACGGTGGAGAAGAGGGCTATAATGACTGAAGCTGGTGCTGGGCATGCTATCCCTTTGTCACAGTTCAGTCAGTGAAGCTTCTGTGTAGAATGTCATACCAGGTGCTGAGTTGCATGATGAAGATTTCCATGTAATCAGGAGACTAAGAATTTCTACAATTGAGCGCAGATAACTTCAAGGGGGTTGCCATGGATGGCATCCTGTAAAACCATTTTCATAAGATTGCAGTGAGTCAGATGAGAAAGTCTGCTTGGAAAAGGATCAAAATGTTTAAATTTGTGAATGGTTTCTGCTTCCATGTTTGTAATGTGAAAGACTGACTGATAAATTTGAGTTCATTGTACATCACATGGTTATGTGCTGAAACTGTTTTCTAAATGAATTCATTGATCTACAAGTACCAGTACTATAATATTGCTTGATTATCTGCTTCTCTAAACATTAATCTACAAGATGTAAGCTTGTCTGCTGGGAGCAGTAGGATATAGGAATGTCTGCCTTGATGCAAAGGGATCGAGACCCTGAGAATACTTTCAACTCAATAAATCTGTTGATCTGCAAAGATCTTGATATGCATGTTTCAGAAAGTGCCTTTGAATTTTCTTCCTCAAAAATTCCTTCTCAGGCACAATCACACAAAGACTTTGGGTTGGTCAGATCGTGTAACTCTGGCCTTTGTTTGACAGGAACCTTTTTTTTTTTTTTTTTCTCATTTTTTTTTTTTTTTTTCTCATTTTTTTTTTTTTTTTTCTCATTTTTTTTTTTTTTTTTCTCATTTTTTTTTTTTTTTTTCTCATTTTTTTTTTTTTTTTTCTCATTTTTTTTTTTTTTTTTACCTCAAGGTCTACTCCATATGTGGCAGCTGCAAAACATATATTCTAGCTTTTTCTTACTGTGCTGCTGAGGATATCCAGTTAGAACTGGGCTACAAGAGCTTTCTCACTAGCCTCTCTTAATGTAAAAGTATCAGATATTACTGAGAATTCAGATTACCTTCCTCCCAAACCTTTTCTTGTATTTTCACCATTCCTCTCTCCATGTTTTTAAGAATTAACATGGCCCTTTATGGGGGTGGGCTGGGTGGATTCTAATACATTTGGAAATAAAAGTCTTTAAAGGGTGGAATGGCAAAGAGATACTGTATTTCCTTATTTCACAAAAAACTCACAGTATTATGAAATCATTCCTTCTTGTACATAATTGCCCAGCATTACTTGTTTGCATTTTCTTAATTGGCAGAGAATGCAATGCTGTTATCCATTATTTGTTCTACAGTATCATTAGCTTTGTTGTTGTCGCTTTACTTGTGATATTTTTATTTCTCTTCATGCATTTACTCAAACATGGGTGTACAAAAATACATTTAAAATGTATTTTAAAACTCATATTTGCCTATAGATGGCTATGAATATCTGAGGCTGCTCACCTGCCACGTACCGCTCACTTCCACTATTCACCTGAGGATACAGATTGCAGGATTAGTAGCTCAATGGTAAGTTCAGCATGGAATCACAGTGATAAATACATTTTCAAATTATGGAGGAAGAGTAATGCCTGCATTGCACTATTGTGTCCCAACATGGAAGCATTCTAGATTATTTTTGTCCTTTATTCTGACTTTATTCTCTCAGACAGAAAACATGACTGGGAGGCATTGCATTTTAAAAATGAATTGCCAGCTGTCATATTGGAAATTATAGCTGGAATCCTTCCCTTTCAAGTCCCACCACTTTCATAAACCAGGGTTACTGCTGCCAGACTCTCTATCACTCATCTTTAGATGAAGCATCACAGCAGAAAATGAGGACCAAGTATCTTAGGCTATCTGAT